TGGTCCCTCTCAGTCCCAAGAGCAAATGACTCCCAAACAAAGAGCACAAACAAAAGTCCCCCAAGATTTGAAAGTATCTTGTCCCCTTATTGGTCCTTTGGGTCAGGTGCCAGCCAGGTTACCTGAGCTTCTTAACCCTTTACAGGGAAAAGGATTTTGGAGTCTCTGGCCAGGAGGGATTTTATAGTACTGTACACAGGACAGCTGTTACCCTTCCCTTTATAGTTATGACAACGTGGGTCAGCACCTGGTGTATATATTGGCCTGTGTAAAAGCACTCGGCAGCAAATTGGTTACACTAGTGCTTCCCAAGTTCTGGCATTCGTATCAGCTGGTACCTACAACTTGTGTGTCTGAGGCTGTAGCCTTCTTTACTTTAATAAGTTTGTGTTCTGGGCCCTTGTGTGCAATCAGGGCCAATCTTTCACTGTAACCGACAGTGGAGTCAGGATGCTCCAAATCTCAGTATCTGTTGTGAGCAGCCAAAACACCTGTTTCAGGTTAGAATGTGCACAAGTGAATGGATGAAAAGCGTTGGCTGTTATAACACGGGGATTAGTCCAATAAACAGACATGTTTAGGAACAAGACAAAACACAACCATTCTCCAGCAAGCCAGCAGCAGTAAGAGATTCATTCCATTAGATGAGGAGAGCTGGGGGCTACTAGTTTTACTGTAGAATAGTTCTGGGGATCAGATGTTTTCATTACAAGGCAGCACTCAAAGTTTCCTGAGGTGTCTGCCTAGTATCTAGGAGCAAATTCTTGCAGTGAATCAGATATGTAGGGCTCATAAATCTTTGCTTTTGATTTCTCCAGGGCAATACCACAGACTGCTGACCCCACCCATCTGTCTTCTGGAAGGAATATGGGGTGGAGAGGGGAGATTACCAAATAGCTGTTTAATTAGTTTGACTCCTCCCACTCCTCTTTGCCATTGTGAACTGTGCTTTATTCTGTGCACCCTATACAGTGAAATTAGGAAGGGGTTAGGTCAGTGTGCCAGGTAGAAGACAGTATGATATGCCGAGTTAAACCACAAGTGTATATAGAAGGGGAAATAAATACAGATAGAAATTTCCTATGACTGTTAATGTCAGTTACTATTCCTTGTTTCTTCATCACTGAGTGTAATTCTGATGGAACTTGCTGAATTGAGGGCCCCAGAACGGTTGGAGACTGGAGTCCCCGTCTATCCCCAGAGCAGAGTTAGCATGAGCAGCAGCACTGCAAGCTTCCCTCACAACTAATATGCCTTAGTCCTGACCAAGAAGGACCCACTCTGGCAAACCAATTTTTGTGTGTGTAAAAAAAAAAAAAAAAAACAAAACAAACACGTCAGTAAGGGTTTTTTTTGCCAAAAATAACTGGAAAATTCTGAAAACATGAACATTTTCAATTTTTTTGGGGGGGAGGGCAGTTTAAAACAACCTCACTTGGAAAGAAACATTTTGAGTATTCTAGTTACAATTTAGTTTGAAGTGGCTCCCGTTATTGCCCTGCTAAAGTAGCAGTTCTCGAACAGTAGTCCTATGCAGAGCCACCTCTGTCGCTGTGGGGGAGCGTGCAGCAGTCTTTAAGCAGTGATTTTTGCCTGATGATTTTTTTACCCCAGCCCCCTCCAGGACTCTCAAGGTTTCTAGAAGGCTTTTTTAGCCACCAAAACTAAAACACTCCCCCAAGTCCTTTGCTGCACCCTGTGCTCCTGGTTAGCCTGCATTGTCCCCTGCCGTTTCAACTGCTTCAGTATTCTTTGGCACTTCCTGTCCTAAACTGTTGTGCAATATTGTGTTCTGCTCTTTCCATGTCCTCCATCATTGGTGTCTGCTGTGTGGGGTAAAAACTGTTGCATTCTGTCCCAGAGGGGTTTTCTGTCAGCTGTGGGTGAATTAGGCAGCTGTGTGTGTCAGTTTCAGTGGAATTTTCCAAAGGGCTTATCGTTGGCCTAACTCCTCTCCAATTCAAGTCAGTGTTAAAACTCCCACCGATTTTGATTGGAGCAGACTTAAGTGAATCCTGACTGCTTTGAAAGTCCCAGCCTAGCTCTGTCAAACCTTTTGGGAACTTTTGGGATGCAAGATGCTATATAGCCATGGGAGGTGGTGGTGATGTATTAAGCCTTGACTAACCAGTCCATCTAGATGGTCTTTTTTTTTTTGTTCCTTAGCATGACAGATCAGTCTGTTCTCTGCCTGTTACACTGATGGCGATGACAACCACAAATAACCTGTGCTGGATGGTGCAGATTGTCATTTAATGGCTTCTCTTCCTGTCTTCTCTGCAGATCATGATCAGTAGATAGCATCTCACACCATGACCATGGCTCCCCGGAAAAGGAATCGTCATGCTTTGGGGTTTCTTTGCTGCTTCGGGGGAAGCGACCTCCCTGAAATCAACCTCAAGGATAATAACCCCCTCCAGTTCCTGGAGTTCTCTGTCCCAATCCCATCAGCAGAGGAGCTCAATGCTAGGTTCTCTGAACTTGTGGTGAGTTTCTGCCATTGACCTTATGTTTTACAGGGTGTGGGAGAGGTTTCTTGTGGGGGTAATGCAAGTTCTTTGGGGCAGGGACTCTTTTTTTTGTTCTGTGTGGCACCTAGCACAATGGGGTCCTGGCCCATGACTGGGGCTCTAAAGTGCTGTGATGATGCAAACCACACATGATGATAAGGAATCATAACTTGTTGGGAGCTGGGAAAAACCTCCAGTGAGTTGTGTAGACTACTTCCCTATGTTGTGGTAGGGTTTAGTTAATCACTCTTGAATAGAAGGCTGTGTAACTGCTGCCTTGAATAGTTCTTTGCTAAGATTCCAAGGGAAAAGATGGACAATTACTTGGACACCAATAATATTTCAGGTCTGAATGGGATTAAATCACTACCAACAGTGATTCTTTCTTACAGGGTTAGGCAGATAGCCCTACCAATATGCCATGGAAGAAATTGCTTCCCAACCCTAAATCTGGCTATCATGGCATCAGTACTTTGATCCCTGATCATTGCTCCAGAGATCAATTTCCTATGGCTGCCTTTGGGATAAAGAGAGTTTATCTGTTAGAGAGTACACCAGGAGATTTGGGGTTTTGGCCCATGTATGGAATGGAGATAGTACTTGTTTCTCATCTGTCACCAGCAGGAAATCACTGACAAGTAACCATGGTGATTTTGTTGCATCTGTCAGCTGCCTTTGATACCTTTGGTCACGAGGTGGTGGTGACACAGTTGTAGGTTTTAGCAGGAATGGAAGGAGTTTTTCCAGTTGAAAACAAGGGGCAGTATTGAGCAATTTCTCAGTTGCTCCAAGGTTCCTCTAATGTAGTGTGCTGGAGGATTCCATTCTTCATGGCCATTCCTTTCCCCTCTCCCCTCCTGTTCAGCATGTATGTGAGGCCACTGGGGGGAGATGGAGACAATATGTATTATGGTGTCTACAGTAGGAAGAGGACACCCAGCAGGACCCATGCGATGCAGTTGACCAGCTTATCCGGTGTCTGAGCAAGACTGGGGTTTAGATAAGGGTGAGATGTGTGTGACTACAGATAACACTTAGGTTATGCTGGTGGGGTGGGGGAAGTCAGTAGTATTGGCAAAGAAGATACTGGCTCCCTCAATTGGAGTTACATGCCTGATTGTCAAATAGTTGGCAAAAAGGATCTCCAGCTGCTTCAGGATGACCAAACAGCTGCAGTGGCCAAGATGTTTTTGCATCATATATGGTTAGTCAGAAGGTTGCAACCTTTTCCTTTGGATGTGGATATCGTCACACTGACCCAGGCCTTTCTCAGCTTGAGACTGGGTTACTATAATTTGCTTTATATGAGGTTACCCTTTAGTCTATTGGAAACTGCAGATGACATGGAATATGGCAGCCTGCTTGCTGATTGGTGTTTCTTATGGGAGCACATTTACACTAATGCCCTGTGATCTACATCAGCTGCAGCTTATTTCTGGGTGCAATTTATTGTGTTAATTTTTCACCTACAAATCTTTAAATGGCTGGTCCTGGCTAGCTCAGCCTGTCTTTCTATCAATGTCATATTATTATGGCTGAAGTCAACCAAAGCACTGGAGCTATTTTCCCCATGGGAGGTCCCTGAAGTGTTTGCTATCCACCTTGGTTTGCCAGAACCTGAATCTGCTGACCTTCAAGTCCCACTGCAGGGTCTGATGCTCTGCCAGGTTTTTCCTGGTGGGGAGGAAACGTTTCTGGGAGGAGACTGTGTGTATATACGATATAGATATGATGGGCGATCACTTGTTACCAAGTATGAGCATCTTCCGTGGGAGTTATGGGTCCTCAGGTGGCTAATAAGGCCAATCCTTGAACCAAAAGTTCGGTTACAATGAGGGCAGATGTTTTCAGGCTCAGCAGGAGGCTGTTGACCATGACTGGAGACCAGTCTCTCTTTCCTCCTGCATCTCTTGTCCTCTTCAGCTTGTCAGCAAGCAAGTTCAAAATGCAGGGGACCATCATGTAGGATTTCACTCCATTTTAAGCGATCCAGGGCAAGTGTCTCCCAAGTGTCAATGTTACACTTTTTTAGGTTGTCCTTCAGCAAGTCCTTATAACGCTTCTGCTGTCCACCCACGTTACAGTACCCTTCTTTCAGCTGAGCGAACAGGACCTATTTTGGGAGGCAATGGCTGGCATCTGGACAATGTGACTAGTCCAGCAGAATTGCCTTGATACTGGTGGTCTTTGCCTCTTCCAGAACACTAATATTAGGGCGCCTGTCTTCCCATTTGATCTTCAGAATCTTATGAAGGAAGCATTGATGGTGCCTCTCAAAGACTTTCAAGTCATGTCTATAGGTTGTATGGGTCCAAAACTTGGACAAAAGTGTTGGGAAAATAACAGCTTGATAAACAAGAAGCTTGGTGTCTGTTCGAATGTTGTGATCTTCAAAAAACCCTGTTCCGTAAATGGAAAAAAGCTACATTGGCACAGTTCAGGCGATGTTGAATTTCTGCATCAATATCTGCCTTGGATGAAAGATGACATCCAAGGTAGAGGAAATGGTCGACATTCTCCAGTGCCACTCCATTGATTTTGATAGATAGGGCATGTAATACCTCATTTGGAGAGGGCTGATAGAGCACTTTAGTCTTCTTGATATTAAGAGTGAAACAAAGACATATGTAAGCATCGGCAAACACATTCAAGATACTTTGAAGATCTTTCTTAGAGAGGACAAAGATTGTGTTATCAGCATACTGAAGTTCCACAATAGATGTTGTGGAAATCTTACTTTTGGCTTTCAGCCTGCTAAGCCTGACCAGCTTTCCATCCATTCTGTAAATGATTTTAACGCCATCTGTAAACTTCCCAGCAATTAGATAAAAAATGACAGCAATAAAAATTGCAAACGTGGTTGGAGTAATGACACAGCCCTGTTTGACTCCTGTTTGCACTTTGAAAGGTTCACTCTGGGAGCTACTGCTGCTCAGAACAGTCGCTTTCATGTTATCATGAAGCAATTTTAGGACATTGATGTATTTATCAGGACATCCAATCTTAGAAAGTACAGTCCAGAGGGCACGGTGATTCACTGAATCAAAGGCTTTAGTTAGATCAATAAAAGCCTTGTACAGTGGTCGGTTTTGCTCCTGACACTTTTCTTGCAGCTGCCATGCTGTGAAGATCATATCTGCAGTTCCACAACATGGTCGGAAACCACTCTGAGTCCGGTAAAATTTCTTCTGACAAATGCAGAAGGCGGGTTGCAAGGATCCGCGCCAGAACTTTGCCTGCAATGGCTAGGAGGGAGATACCATGATGATTTCCACAGTCCACTTTGTCACCCTTTAAAGAAAGGGGATAATCATGGCATTCCTCATTTCGCTGGATATATCCTCCTATCCAGATTTTAAGGATAAACAGGTATAGAGGTTGAATTAGCTCTGGGCCCCCGTCTTTAAGGATTTCAGCGGGGATCCCATCTAGACCTGCTGCTTTCAGGGCCGGCTCCAGGCACCAGCCTGGCAAACAGGTGCTTGGGGCGGCCGCTCTGGAGAGGGGCGGCACATCCAGCTATCCGGTGGCAATTCGGCGGACAGTCCCTCACTCCCGCTCGGAGCCGAATTGCCGCCGCAGATCACAATCACGGCTTTTTGCTTCTTGGGGCGACCAAAACCCTGGAGCCGGCCCTGGCTGTTTTGTTGTTGTTCATCTGCTTGGTGGCACTGTGTACCTCATACAAATTGGGAGGGTCTCTGAGCTCATCCCTAAATGGTCATTGAGGAATTTGCTCAAGGACTTCATCTGCAACTATAGAATTACGGTTAAAGAGATCTTAAATATTCTTTCCAGCGAGAATTGATGGCTTCGTTGTCCTTCAGAAGTGTGGTTCACCACCGCAGCGCCTCCTGCTGGTTGCACCAGGAATTAGCTCTGTTCAGCTGTGGAGCACCCTCTGCAGGTGGTGTCTCACCCGTTGTCTGCTCTGCTGTGCTGTCTGGGACCTGCGTTGCTCCCTGGCTTGCGGAGTCCTCTTCTGGACACAGCCCTCCGGCTGTGCCCTACTCGGTTCTGTCCCCTTCTGGGGGGGTGTCAGCAGTCCTCAGTCTGCACCTGCTCTCGTGGCCAACTGCAGCCCCAAAGTCTAGCCCTTTGTCTCAGGGGCAAGCCACAGTCTGTATCGGGCCATGCTCCTCCACGGCCAGGTGCAGTGTAAGGGGGGAGGGACCCAGGCCCACCCACTACTCTGGGTCCCGGCCCAGAGACCCTTTGGCAGCAGCCATGTCCTGCCCTCCTTCTCTCCCCTCTACTGCTCGCACTCGCTGGGCCACTTCCCTCTGGCCCTGGCACCTTCTCAGCCCTTTCTTTCAGGAGCCTCAGCCTAGCAGGTATCAGGCTGGAGCTTTCCCTCTGCTCCCCTGAGCCTGCCCAGCGCTGCTCAATCTAAGGTGCTATCCCTGGGAGCCAGTCCTCCTCCCTGGCTGGTGAGGGAGAGACTCCTGTCTCTTCTGCTTTGCAGCCTTTATATAGGGCTCAGCCTGGCCCTGATTGGCTGCCTTTCTGCCCTTCTCTGATTGGCTGGGTTCTGCGCAGCTGCTCCAAGGGCCGCTATTAACCCCTCCTCTGCCAAAGTGGGGCAACTGCCCCACTACTGTGGTGTGTGTGTGTGTGTGTGTGTGTGTGTGTATATATGTATATATGTATATGTGTGTGTATATATATATATATATATATATAGTACCATTTGTACATATGCCCAGAGCCTGAAATGGGCATGTATTTCTTTTTTAAAAATAAATCATTGAAATCAAAATAAATGAAATCCATTTCTGTGCATTTCTTGATATTATTAGAACTGTAATTTTCTGAGGACTTAGTTGTGGGAGAAAAGTGCTCTCTTTCAGAAGGATAAGGAAGTGTTGCTTAATTTTGGAAGGTGCTCAGATACTACGGTGAGGGAGGTTGTATGAGTTCCTAGGTAGGTAGAGAGACAATAGCAAAGGATTTCTGAATGTGGTTGCCTGTGATAG